GTAACAACGCTACTACCGACGAGTTGCCCGATGGCTAAAAACACGCTCACCAGCGCGATCGCCATCGCGGTAGGCGGTTCCCCCCCCCCCCTCCCCCCCTCCCCCCCTCCCCCGTCCCCCAACCATGCATCTCGCCACGGTCGCGACCTGCAACCTCAACCAATGGGCGCTGGACTTCACGGGCAACCTGCGCCGCACGCGCGCCTCGATAGCGGCTGCCGTCTCCCTGGGCGCGCGCTACCGCGTCGGCCCGGAGCTTGAAACGACGGGGTACGGCGCGGAGGACCACTTCCTGGAGCTGGACACGGAGGCCCACTCGTGGCAGGCCGTCGCCGAGCTCATGTCCGCCGGCGACACCGAGGGCGTCCTGCTGGACGTCGGCGCCCCCGTCCTCCACCGCGGCGTCCTGTACAACTGCCGCCTGCTCCTGCTCGACCGCCGCGTCCTCCTCGTCCGCCCCAAGATGGACCTCGCCGACCACGCCAACTACAGGGAGGCGCGCTGGTTTAGGGCCTGGCCGAGGGAGAGGCAAGTGGAGCAGTTCCTTTTGCCCGAGTGCGTCAGGGAGAGGTGCGCTGACTTTCAGATGTTCGCCCCGATCGGTAACGCAGTCCTGCGCTTTGAGGATGGCCTCATGCTCGGCTGCGAGACTTGCGAGGAGCTGTGGACCCCGCGCGCCCCGCATCTCGATATGCAGCTGGACGGTGTCCATGTCATCGGCAATGGAAGCGCCTCGCATCATGTCTTGCGCAAGCTCCACGTCAGGGAGAGGCTGTTGGAGAGCGCCACGAGGAAGGGCGGGGGCGTCTATGTCTATGCTAATCAGATTGGCTGTGACGGCGGGAGGCTCTATTATGACGGCTCGGCTCTCATCGCCCTCAACGGCGACATTATTAAGCAAGCTCCGCAGTTCACCGTAGAGAGCGAGGTCCAGGTCATTGCCGCTACCGTCGACATTGATCACGTTCGCAGCTACCGCATGTCGCTCGCCGCGCGTGCCGAACAGGCCGCGAGGAATACCAACCGTCCGAAATTGCATGTCATCCAAGTCGAGGGCCCCTTCTCTATATGCCTTGCCCACGAAGAAGCCGCCTCAGCTTACCCCACCCCGCCGCTGGAACGCGTCGTGCATTGCTCCCCGTGGGAGGAAATCGCTCGCGGGCCCGCTTGCTGGCTGTGGGATTATCTACGCCGCTCGGGGCTCAACGGTTTCTTTCTGCCGCTGAGTGGGGGCGCCGACTCCTCGTCGACTGCCGCCATTGTGGGCAGTATGTGCCAGATGCTTGTCAATGCAGCCGCGGGGACGGACCCTCAACATGCTTTGCTACAGGATATTCGAAACGTTACTGGCGCGGGGGACGACTACATACCGACTGATGCGCGCGAGTTGGCGCGCAGAATTCTGCACACAGTGTATATGGGGAGCAAGGAGGCTTCATCGGCGGAGACCAAGCGACGAGCCGCGGTCGTGGCGGAGCAGATAGGCGCGTGGCACGCAGACGTCAATATTGACGGAATCGTGCTGGCCATTCTCGCCGTGTTTCAGCGCGTGTTTGGTGAGGGCAAATGTCCGCAGTTTAGAGCGCATGGCGGGACGAAGACGGAAAACATGGCGCTGCAATGCGTGCAAGCACGCATCCGAATGGTCGTTGCTTACTTGTTTGCACAGCTCACGCTGTGGGCGAGAGGGAGGAGCGGGTCCTTGTTGGTGCTGGGGTCTGCGAATGTAGACGAGGCCCTGCGAGGATATCTGACCAAGTACGACTGCAGTTCGGCGGATATTAACCCAATCGGGGGTATTTCCAAAGCGGACTTGCGGGCGTTTCTTCGCTGGGCCGCAGACGAGAAGGAAGGACTGGGATATTCCTCGCTGGTTGACGTTGTAGAGGCTGCGCCGACGGCGGAGCTGGAGCCGATCACGAAGGAGTACACGCAGACGGATGAGGAGGACATGGGGATGACCTACGACGAGCTGTCGTGGTTTGGCAAGCTTCGCAAGCTGCATAGATGCGGGCCTTTTGCCATGTACGAGCGGCTGCGATGCTCGTGGAGAGCGGGCGGGCTGAGCGCGCGCGAGGTGGCGGACAAGGTCAAGTTTTTCTTCAGGATGTACGCGATCAACCGCCACAAGCTCACCGTGTTGACGCCATCGTACCACGCAGAGGATTACTCGCCCGACGATAACAGGTTTGACTTGAGGCAGTTTTTGTACAACGCGCGCTGGAGTTGGCAGTTTGAAAGAATGGATGAGGATGTGGCGAGGCGAAGACCGAAGGATCAGTAGAATTTCTTGGCGGCGGGGAGAGAGGGTTGGCGAAGATCCCGAGGCTGATGAGCCGCCATGTATTTGTTTTTACTACAGTACTGCAGGGTGCAATTTTTGAACGCAGTCGCGTGATCGGCACACTTGTGACTGGGACCGGTCGTACGTAGCATCCCCGAACCACCCTTCCCCTTCTCCTCCCGGTTCGCAGACGGCTCCACTCCACCACATCCTCCGCCCCATGTCTCCCCGCGCATGAGTCACCCACGTGACCGCCTTCCCCGCACCTCCCCGCCACCCCCTTCCAAAGCCCATAACAGAGCCTCTGCTCCCCCCTTCCCCTCGACCTCCGTCGTCCACAAAGAGCCCGGCATCCTCCTCCCTCCCAGCCACTTCGCCGTCGTCGAGCCCGGTCTCTACCGTTCCAGCCTCCCCACCCCGCCAAACTTCCCTCACCTCCGCTCCCTTTGTCTCAACAGAGTCATCATCCTCTCCGCCGAGCGCCCGACTCGCGCCGTCGCCAACCTCTTCGAAGCCAACGGCATCAAAGTCTCGCACACCGGTCGCAGCGCCTGGATCGCCGAGAATTCCTGGAAACCAATCTCTGAAGAGGTCGTCAAAAACTCCTTGGAGATCATCCTTCGACGCGAGTGCTACCCGATCCTGGTCTGCGATGTCGGCGGCATTCATCTCGTCGGCATGCTCATCGGCTGTCTGCGACGCCTCCAGAATTGGAACCTGAACTCCGTCGTCAGCGAGTACCGCTTCTTCGCAAAGGCGAAGACCAGATACGCCAACGAGCAGTGCATCGAGCTCTTCGATATCGATCTAGTCACCATCCCGGATGACCCGCCGCAATGGTTTGCAGACCAGCTTGAGATGGATTGCCAGGAGAGGCAGGAATTTGATGCCCTCATTGCGGACGGACGGGTCGATCAGTCCGGTACCATGCGAGATGACGAGAAAGCACCGCCTTATCTCGCCTATCGGTACAGCTCCTCGGGGCCGCTCAATTCTCAGATCGGCGGCACAGAGCCTAGGGTCCAGATTTTGTGATACCTTCCCGTTTTTTTTCTCGCGTGCGTGGATGTATTTCTTGCTGTTTTGAGCTTAGATCGTGTTCACTTGCAACCACTGCATGAGGACTGCATTTGGAGAGAGTCCTGTGGGGTTGACAGACCGCAGTCCTGCTTGTACCGGTGGCCAGAACGTGCTTCTACATAGTTTCCTTTGTTTCTCTCCTTTGTTTCTCTCTGTGATTGTCAGCCCTAGCACTAGCAGCATTGTTTCGACTTTTGTAAGCCTGTGTCTAGCTGCAAGAACAACGTGCAGCTTGTCGTTCAGTGTAATGCCTTTTTCGTCAGTCTTCAGTGGTGAAGACAAGTGTGTAGACGTAAGGTTTGTATCAACAGGACAGGTTGCCCCAATTGAATTCCAAAAAAGCTGTGTAGCGGAGGCAGACAAGTGAGGCCGTGATGAATGTTATATCAATCGTCATGGAAATCTTGCGCACCTAGCACTTGTGCTATTCTTCTGCCATTAAAGAGTCGTCAATAAGTACCTATGAACTGCGCTTGCTTTTACCAATAAAATGCAGAAGGCAGATGTCACAGAAATGCCGTAAAATGAATTCTTGTTACGAAGCGGTGAACTCTTTACAACTTTCGCCCTTCCGGCATACGGGAACAGAATTTCTCACTTGCTAGTAGACACTACACCGTTAACAGGGTTTAGTGTGGTGGTTAAATTAGTGTCGCCCGGGAATTAGGATAGGCTATCGTAAATATTGTGCAGCGACTTTCACGGCCTTGAAGCTTGATAATTTGCCGTTAGGAAACCCCAACGGTTTTTTAAGACCGTTGGGGGTTTCCTAACGGCAAATTCTTTAAAAAGAATGTTTCCAAAACGGCAGTAATATAGGCTGTACCCTTGGTACTGTACTACAGTGTATCCGTACACCCCATAATAGCATTGGTACGGAATTAGTATAGGCTATACTAATTCCTGTTTCATCCTCATTTTCAGGCTCCTGTGAAATAGTCTGGGCTATACTAAATCCTCTTCACGGGTGTAGTGTCTATCCGACCGGGCCTTGTCCTCATATGAGGACGACGATGTCCTCATATGAGGACAGCTCTTTTTTTGCAAAAATATATAAATTAAATTGAACAATCAAAAAGCTACCTTAAGCACTATTTCCTTAACGTGCTTGTTTTCGGCAATAGCACATTGCAGAACACCGGGATGACAGCTTTGAATGCGCAAAAAGCTTAAGATTATAATGAGGATTGAGTATCAACTTGCCTTTTTGAACTAGCGTTTTTGGTTTCGAAGTTATTTTACATGCGGTTTTAGGATGGTTTAAAAAAGCTTCTTTTCCACACATATCCAAAAACGACCACCGAGAACATGCAATTCTCACAAAGTTCTTTCTGGTCCCAAGTCAGAAGTCAAGTACGGTGGCGGGGGCGTCTTTTTCTTTCTTGTTGGGGAAGCGGAAGTCAAGAATAAAATTGGTCGAATACTGTCCTCGTATTAGGACCAATATCCTCACATGAGGGCAATGCTCCGATAGGCACTAGAAGCTTTCTGAATCGCCATAGCTTTTCAATCGCTGTAGCATTCGAAGTCCCAAAACGTAAAGACGGCCTCTTCAAGTTCTGCATACGACAGTGCACGCGACTCTGCTGTGATCTGTGCATGTGGGCATTGGAGGCAAAACTCGTCGTAGGCCGCTCGTAGTTCCTCTTGATGAAGTGATTGCTCAAAGGGAGAAATTTCCTGACGGCGTTCCGACTTGATCAGCAACTTAGAATCGATGCTGAGCTCCCGAAGAGAAGTATTATTTGTCGCTAATGTGTGCAGGAGACAATGCAACCGCTTATGTGCTCTCTCGCCTTGGTGTTCGATGGAAATATGAAGCTTTCTCAGTCTGTCGCCAATATCTTTCAGTATTGATACAAGTTCATTCTTCGCGATAACAACCTCATGCAGAGACAACACAGAAAGTAAGGGCATGGTGCGAATGTTACGGAGAATTGACCCACACTCGAATTTACCATAGTGGTAGGGATGATCAGAGGCAGGTTTTCGAATCTCCAAAGACTCTAGCAAAGATGTGGGGCTCGGAAACATGATGACGGCTCTTGCGTTTTGATAGGTACGGTCTTCGTGCAAGCGTAGCGGAACTGAAAATATAGACTTTGGGCAAGGTTTGCATGATTCGGCGAATCGCGCCTCATATTTGAAAACACCGCAGACGGCATGAACTGATAGATGCTTTACCGGCCGTTCGATACGAGGATGCAGGATGATGGTCTCGCGAACCTCAGACGCGTAACGCCAATTGTAATAGTCACGGAATGATCCTGCCTGATGCACGATGAGGTGGCAAATTTTGGGGAGGGAGAAGGCGAAACGCCAAACCATGCATCTTTCGAAGGAAAAGCACAAGCACTGCACCTCGAGCTTTGTAATGTTTGGACAAGACCTTGCTAAGTTGACATAATCATTGCCTCTCGGTACAAGACAGCATGAGTGGTCGTTACGACGAAGGTGACTTACTGAATACACAAGCTTGAGTGCCAAGTCTTCAAGACGAGGCAGTGACGCTAAGCACTCAAACACAAGCGGAATGTGAACAATTGTGTACACGTCGAGCGACAACGTGCGAAGAGAACGGGCTCCATGGAGTTCCCGCAGAGTGGGCAGTACAGAGACCATTTGGACCCGTGCGAGCTTCGGTGCACGAAGGAGAGAAGCAAGCCCAGAATTAGATGACTTTGGATGCACCCGAATGTCCAGCTCTCGTAGAATGGGCTGGATAAGGGCAGCCCATCGCTCCAGAAGTGGGAAGTGTCGAGTGAGGACTAAGTTAGAGGAAAGGATTTGGAGGATTACCAAACGGAAATGAGGACTTGATTCGCCCAGAAAGATAAATTCATAAAACGAATCCGGGTGAGAAGGATCCGGTGTGAAGTTGGTGAGAATCCGATGTACGACGTCGCATGGTAGAAGGTCCAGATATAGTTTTGGGGGTTTGGTGAGGGTGGTTTGAAGTTGATTCGCCCTAGCACAAGCTGTGGGGGATACAGGCGAGAGGGAATGAGTCATTTTCGAGGCGTGGAAAACGGTTGAGCGATAGTTGAAGACGTTGAACAGGGGAAAGGCCGAGCTCTTGCTGCTAGCGACAGAGAGCAAGGCATTGTTCTATAAACAAGAATGAAGGAGGGCTCTCGAGGCGGCCTGCATACTCAAGAGTGGCGAGAAATGAATATATAACAACGAAGCCTACAAGGACTACTGTGTGGGTTTCCGCCGGGGGTAGAGCCGAATGTTTATGAGAAATGTTCATTTTAATGACTTAACCACCAAGGTATTCCGCATGGAATGTTCAAAAACTGCATTTCGACCTCGGTGGTGACGAAGCCTTAAAACAGCATAATACATGTAAGGGCGTACGTGTTCCTATACGGGTCCAGCTCAGCCATCCCACACCCTCCACAGCCGCTACCAAGAAGCCTGTATCCCCATGTTTGCTCGTGAGGTCATACTCTACCCTTCTCATTGGCTTGATGTGGGACACATAAGAAGTTATGATAAAATATGCGAATGCAGTGCGTATTTGAGGAAAAATGCCTTTATTTGGACGGGAGAATTGGTCTCCAAACTATGCCTGGGTCAAAGTGGGACGACGAGAAATCTCATGTCTTTCACGCTTCATCTGTAATGGGAGAGGCCCAACCAAGCCGACGCTGCCGTGTGCTTGCGGGTCCTAAACAACTCGCCTTCCTCAACCTGCATCCGCTGTTTTCGGGCTCTTGGCCACGGCGAGATTGGCAAGTCGTCGCCAACTATGTCTTCGAGAGGCGACACCGCAGACTGCGCTTTCAGACGTTTTTGAGAGTCACTATTTTCTTTGTTTGCAGTATCATTCTCTACATTACACTCCTGAATGTGATAAACGTCGGGTACGGGCGCCTTTGGAGGATTCTGCCCCTCCAAACGAGTACGAGTGGACTGCAAATTGCCATCCGTCGCTGCGTTTCTTGTTGCGAGGAATTTTCTATTAGATTTCTTAGGTGTGGGGTTCTTTGACAGGCATACATCCTTTCTTAGAATGTCGCGCAACACATAATCATTATTGAGAGAGCGACGGAAACCTCTCCTAAGAGCACCCCTCTCGGTTTGGCTAAATTTGATGGCTAAATGTGAAAAATTTTGCGTTTGCATATAGGATATACAGAAATGCTATCGCATTTCTGTATCAATATGGGAAATTCGAGACCATCAATTGTGGGGGGGAGAGAGGTATGATAGGGGAACAATTGAAGAGAAAGTAGGGTGGCAAAGGAAGGAGTGAGAGAGGGGGGAGGAGGGGGAAGGGAAGCGTGGGGAGTAGATATGATAAGTGCTTCAAGGACTTACAGCGCGAGAACATCACACGGAGTAACGCAGGCATCCCTAGAAAGTCACACTGAAGTTGAACCTCTGCCTGGAATAGGAGTTGGAACTGGCAGGATTAGGCACCGGTGCAAGATGTGGAACGACGACGACGCCGCCGGTGACCCATTTCACCCCGATTCGTGGGGCAAGGACAGCAGTGTAACAAGGAGCACGTTGAAATTCGCTTAAAATAAATAGCTTTCTTTTACTTGCAGAAGCGACCAGAAAATTTTACTGTGGTCGCTTGGAGAGAAATTGAAACAATTATAAGCAGGACGCAGACACTCGGATAATTTGGAGTTAATCATAACAAATTCAGATGAACTGCACTAATCCTGTTTCAGATTAAGATCACTTGTAAGTCCAGCACTTCAAAATAAAAATCCCCCCAAATGCCCCTGCCCTGCCCATCAATTTTCCTCCAAATTGATGGCCTAAACAGCACTTGTGGAAGACCCCTTCAACGCAGGCCACCAAAGTCATCAATCAATTGAAAATGGGTAGGTAATTTGATGGTCTCGGGAACGTTTTTTGTGTATCAGATTTAAATCTGGATTTCGAGACTGTCTATGAGACATTTTATCCCGCCCATCGCCAACAGTGCAATGGAGCTCATCAATTTTGCTCAGAATTGACGGCCTTCACGTATGCATATTCCACAATTCTCAGAATTGATGGCCTATGACACGCAACTTTGCTCAGGATTGATAGCCTTCACGCATGGTAAATGGCCGCTTTTTGAAGGCTTCAGAAAGCAGTTCTGGGCATGTAGCTATGCTTATGATCCTGCACAACTCCAACTGCAACGCTTCCCGTTTTCTCAAGTAAAGTCAAAATAGATGTGGTGAGGTCAGTACCTGACCACTCGCTGCAATGTTCTTCATTTGTATCGATTCAATCCACAACTTATGTTCTGTATAATCAAACTTGCAAAGAACTTCACACTTCCGAACTTCTCAGTCCATGTTAAGGGATTTCAACATTGGCGAATTATACTTTATTCTGTTTGGTGGAGAGTACTGTTGAGAAGTACTGTTCAGAAGGACAATCGATTAAGATTGCCTACAGCAACTGCATAGTTATCTATTTGGCAAGTATTGTGGCCACGTTTTGAAGGCCCCCGAAACTAATTCTGAACATTCGGCTATTCTTCTGTCCCTACAAAACTCTAACTGCAACGCTTCTCATTTCCTCAAGTAAGGTCAAAATAGATGTGGTCAGGTCAGTACCTGACCACTTCCTGCAATGTTCTTCTTTTGTATCAATTCAATCCACAATGTGTGTACTGTACAATCAATACATGCAAAGAAATTTAAACCTCCTAACTTTTCAGCACATGGAACGGGAGTTTAAGCTTGGCGAACATTTGAACAAATAAATGCGCAGACTATTAGAACTTTTATCGGTTTTGGGAAGTTTACTTTTGAGATGTTCTGTTTAGAAGGACATTACATTAAGATTGCCTTCGGCAATTGCGTATTTATCCATTTGGAAACTTCTCAGCACATGATAAGGGCTTTTAACCTTGGCGAACATTTGAACAAAGCAACGCGAGTCGTATTGCACTTTCTTCTGTTTTGTGCAGTGTAATTTGGATATGTACAGATTAGAAGGATATGTTTGAGGTACAACTTTGAATGTCATGGCATTAGTTTACTGTCGATAAATTACTCTATGGCAATGAAAAATGGAGATCCGTATCACCACTTTACTACAGGGAATGTTTGAAACAATAGATAGGAGCATATGCTTTGATTTAGCACCTTTCTAATGTTTTAAATGTCCTTCATCGTCTTTGTTTTCTTTTCTTCTTGCTCTCCAAATTTGAAAACTCGGCTAATTCGTGTATGCTACTTGTAGTATAACACCCCCCAGCGAAGAGGGGTGTATACTTAGCTCGACGTAGACCCGTACGAGGGGCGAGAAGACGGGGAGAACACACAGCTAACGAGACAGAGAAGCGGGCCCTGGTAGCGTGGTAGAGCGGGACGGTCTGGGACGAGCGTACGCGCGGGCCGATCTACGCCTCGACGCCCCGGAGCAGCGCTGGGTAACGTACCAGCGCTGACGGGCGGAGGCGGATCTAGGCTCGCTCGCGTACGCGGCTGTCCCCTACCCGCTTTGTCCCGATTAACGCGCGCGAAGGCGGATCGCGCTCGTTAGTTAAGCTGGAAGACGGACCTAGGCGGTAGGTCGTGGTCAAGTCCGTGCTTGTCCACCTACCCCGCCGCCGGTCCCGCTCGTATTTAATGTATACAATGCGTCTATCATAATACTACAGTACCGGTATGCTGTAGTAACTTACTGTAGCGCGGGTCGTCCTACGCTGTAATGCTGTCAGCCGTCGGGGCTGACAGCACACGTGTGAGACGCGTACTGTGCGCGCGGTGGTACGCGCCTCGTACACGTGTACGCGTGTGGTCCCGCGTCCTCCGTACACGTGGGGGTACACGTGTGCGCGGGTGTGGTTCGTATTGATCTGATCTAAATCTAATCGCGAACCGCCGTTATGCCACATGGCCCCCTCCTCAAGAGTGAACGTCCGCGTTCACCCTTGAGGAGTGAGAGAGCCATGTCCGACACGGTCGCTTCCCGAGCCTTGGTCCTGTTCCCCTTTGATCCAGCGTTGTCTTCGGCGCCGTCCACCGATCAACCTTGCCGCCCTTACGTCCCCGCCGTACTCCGTGCCCCCTGGTTTTGCATCCTCCTTCACCTCTCCTCACCCGCCGCCGCGGGTGTTCCTCTTCGTTGCCACTCACGCGCTGCTTACCGCGTCGTCGCCCTCATGTCTTCGCTTCCCGAGGCGCGTCCTTCGTCTGGGGGCCCTTCCGTCGGGCTCCCCGCGCTTCTGCCGCTCTCGGGGGCCTCCGGGCCCCCGCGTACAGTACCTCCCCCGGGCTCTTCCGGGGACTTCGTCGCGCATCCTTCCCGCGCAGAGGGATTTGTCCCTCCCGCGGCGCCCGCGCTGCCGCCGTTCCAGAAGAGTCGCGGCCCCTCGGGGTCCACCGGGAGTGTGGAATTTTGTCCCGCCTCGTCGGGGACTGCGCTGCTCCAAGGGGGCGACGTCGTACGCAGGAAGGTCGGAGAGGTTCCTCCTGACCACATGTCGGACGCGCCGCGTATGAGCGCGCCTTACCAGCCGCGCCCCGGGTCGTATGGGGCATGGGGGAGCTGCCGGCAGCCGGACATCCTGCCTCCGAAGACCCGAGGTAATCTCGACGCGGGGGCGGAGTTGGCCGACGACATCGCCCAGTGGTTTGGCACCGCCCTGGCCCGCTCGATGCCGCTGCCCGTGGAGCGGCTGAGATTCCCGTGGCGCCGTTGCGCCAGAACGGGAATCACCCTCGCAGAGTTGTTATTGCGTGACGTTTTGCGCCCTGACCTCCTGCGCGTGCGTCGCATTTACGAGGCAGGTCGCGTGGACGACGCCGGCCTCGTCCTTGCTAGGCTGACGGGCAAGGGCGGGGGAGTTCCCTATCAAATCCCCGACGCGATCCCTTGCGACAGGACGTTCGCGTACGATTCCGGCGAAGTCATCTATGTCGACCGCATGGCCGAGCACCTGGTTGGTCGTTTGCCGGGCGCTCCGCGACGGTTCATCCTTTCCGAAGTTGAGGAGCTCTACCTGAGTCCCCGTCCTTATGCCTATTCGAAGTCTCGCGTGGCTC